GTCCCACTTATGGGACGCTTGTAAAAAAAAAATTGCTAAAATGTATTAAGAACTAGTTAAAACACAAATTATGTTTCATTGTATTTGAAAATGGCTAGATTATTGAATTTGTGTGTGTTTTGTGAAAAAAATTAATTTAGAAAAATGTTATAGTGCCGGATTTGCAGGACTTGTCAAAATGGCGGAAAAAAAGAAAACATGCGCACAGGAAAATGCATATCTTCTAAAATATTAACATTTTAAGTGCAAAATACATTTGAAACTTATAGCAGTACCATATTTCTATCTGATAAAAATTTAAGAATAACAATTTTTTTTACTACTTCGTTATATCAAGTGTACAACAAGCGTCCCATAAGTGGGACGCTAGCAACGAATGGCCCCATGTAGATTGTTACACAAACGTCACACTTATTGGACACTAGCGAGAAACACAGATGCAAATGTTTATGTTAAATGGTTATTTATGGTGAAACAATTGTTGACTTTGTTAACTGTTGACCTTGGGGTGTTAAGTAGTATTTATAGATATTTAATTATGACATTGACCTATATTTATGCAGATTGTTACACAAACGTCACATTTATTGGACACTAGCGAGAAACACAGATGCAAATATTTATGTTAAATGGTTATTTATGGTGAAACAATTGTTGACTTTGTTAACTGTTGACCTTGGGGTGTTAAGTAGTATTTATAGATATTTAATTATGACCTTGAGCTATATTTTCTTATATATTATTGTATTAGAAAATTGCAAATATTGAAAAACTTACATTTTATTTTTAAGTTTTCAGAATTACACTTACTGAAGTATTTAATACTATTGAATACAAACTAATTTAGTATTGCTGTAAATTTACTAGCGCGTGATATTAAAATAATAACAAACCAGAATAATAACAATGGCCACGATTTAGGTGAAATGATTCAGTCATGGGGGTTGATTAACTCTCTTCATATAAGAGAGCTTAAGCTACATATAGCAGAAATGTGAATTAGCTGTGTACAGTTGTCATGCCCCAATAATATCCCCCTCCAAAGGTTACCGATACCAGCTTTACTTTGTTAACTTTTTAAGGAGATTCCTGCTGTTAGATTGGGAGCTGTTCGCATAGTGAGGTGCATACATGGATGAGAGCCATGAACACTCAATACAAGCCCCCAGAGACGGATCCGTACCCTAGAAATAAGATGTCTGATGTCCTAATGTACGCCTGTGGGGGGGGGGGGGGAATAGCGAGGGTAACAAAAGAGAAGATGGCTGGATGACATCTGGGACTGGACCGGATCATCTTTTGCAAATACCCAAAGGGCAGAGTTTCTTTCAGGCATCATTTCGAAGGAGGGGGGAAGGCTGCCCCTGAGAAGAAAATGGAATGTATATACAAAACATACTTTTACCAATGTCCACCCTTCCCCTGAAATTTAAGTCCCCACCCGTGAAAATTTCAAGTACGCCCCCCCCCCCCCCCCAAAAAAAAAAAATTATTTATATTTAATTATATTACAGTTTCGATGAATAATAACAATATTTGTGATCATGTGTGTATAATTAGATGTACTAGTCACAGCTTTACTTATTTCCAAGTGTTGTTCACTTTGATGGATGCTAGATTGAAAGAAAACTAGACTTTTGAACATAATTTCTGCATTTTAGACCATGGTATGGCTAACCCAATTGATCACTATCAATATTTTTAGCTGTCCTAAACAATGAAATCATTGGTCTAACAATACAAAATCAGTATACAGCTTAATTTTCGCGTGATTAGCCATATTTCGTGAAAAATGATTTTATTTTTCAATAAATGTACATGGGGCCGTTCGTTGCTAGCGTCCCATTTATGGGACGTTTTTTAAAAAAAATCGATATTCAAAAAAGTATTGATTTTAAAAAAAAATCCATAGTCATTCCTTCATTCAGTGCCCAAAAGCTAAACCATATCAAAAAATTATAAAAAATTGAGATCTTGGGATAATATGGGTTAACATTATATTTGTTTTATTACGCATGAATAAAAAATATTAAAACAAAGAGTACACTTGTGTATTTTGGGTATTGATGTCGACTTCAGCATTTTTCTGACATAATCCTATAGAAACGCTATTTGCTCTTGTCTTTCTTGTCTTTATGAATTTTACAACAACCTATTTTCGATAATGAACAAGAAACTAAGTTTGCAGATAGACTTAAATGAGTCAAAAGAGCCCTGTTTTGCATTCTTGCCCAATGTGTGTGTGTGTGTGTGTCTGTTTGTGCGTGCGTGCTTGTGCGTGCGCGTGGTTGTGCGTGTGCGTGTGTGTCACGATAACTTGAGTACCGTTACAGCTAGGTTGATGAAATTGTACATATAGGTATTATATGAAGTGTGTAGATCCGCACTTTTTTTTTCGTACACTTGGTGTGCTATTCTTTTTTTACGAGATTTTATTTTATTTCAAAAGTTTAAGTAATTAAAATGGATAAAAATCATGTCTATACCGTAGTGTTTTATACGAATATGCGAGAAAGTTTAGGGGAGATCACTCCCTTTTTTTACTACATTAGAGTGATAATAAATTCGGCCTTAGAAAGCGCTTTTGAAAAATATATTCATTATTCATGTTATGTCTTATTTTCTACCTGAGTAGATCCTTTGACAATACAACGACTATGAGGATAGCGGTGATGTGTTAGTTATGTTTAGAGTATGACACTAGTAGTTATAGCAATTTAAAAAATAATAAATAGTATTGTGTTAGTCACACCTAAAAACAATTAGGCGACTAATTAAGTCAAATTGAATGTCGCGATGCATTGTCTTCATGTCTGAAGTATGGAATGTGTGTAAAAAATGTATGAAAGAAAACAATATTGTTAGTAATGTATTATTAGTGTCAGTAGCGTTTTTCTGAGTTAAATTCAAAGGCAGAAGAACTGGGACTGTTTAAAAACCCATTTGAATAACTACACGAAAATCCCTTATTTAATATTAATTCAGTACCCCTTACAGAAGGGACACAATTTTTAAATACAAGGGAAATAACTTAACAGAATAGCACAAACAAATACGAATCGAACAACTCATAACAAAATGCAGCATATTTATTTTGTTTTACTTATAAAATGTATGCAATTATTATGTAGGCAAAAAATTGTGTACTAGCTATGGATAAAATAAAATACAACCTTTACCATATTTCAGTTATAATTAATAAACATTAGCTTTATTTTCAGAATAATTATTTAAGTAGTGTTAAAATGTGTTAATCATTCGCTCCTTTGTTTTTGTTATGTTTATTTCTGGCTCCTTTACGTAAGCAAAAAATAAAAACAACATGGCAAGCATGAATAGCGAGACAGATGATGATGATTATGATTATAGTTCAGAAAACTCAGCAGGAGATAGACTTTCATACTTAGAAGATGTCAGACATTCTGACATAGGTACAGAAGGAAATCCACAAGAAAATGTTGAAGAAAAATCTGGAATGGCCAATGTTGTGGCTAGAATCTTATCTAAAGACATTTCAAAAAGCAATAGAGTGTTGCTTGCAAAGGGAAAGACAAATAAAGAAATATTGAAAGATATATCAGACAGAAAAAGACTAAGGGAAGAAACTAAGGATAGAGATGGCCTTACAAAACCAAAGAAATCAAAAAAGATAGAAAAAAGAAGTGAATTTTTTAAAGAAGAGAAGAGGAAAATATGGGAATCAATGGGAAGAAAAAAAGCCATCAGTACTTGATAACCCAAGAGAGGTTAGGTTGAGAAAAATTGCCACACAAGGTATGGTTCAGTTATTCAGATCTGTAAATGAACACCAGAAGTTGATGAAAGAAAAGTTATCTTCAGTGGGGCCTTCAGAACGAAAAAAGGACATGGTCATGTCAGAGTTTACAAAAGGAAAATTTCTTGATCGTTTGAAGGGGAAAAGCCCCCAGATTATGGATAATGATGATGAAAAGAAAGGCAAATGGAAAATTGTACAAGATGATTTTATGCTAGGTGCAAAGATGAAAGATTGGGACAAAGACGATAATAGTGATGGAGATGCCAATGAAAAGTCCATGGAAGACGATGATTTATCAGATGATAATTAAGTTTTTTATTAAAACAAAGTAAAAAAAAATTTAAAAAAAAAAAAAAAAAAAAAAAAAAATTACGAAAGGGACAAATTCAAATAAAATAAACAGCATCGTTAGGTTTGGTGTGAAAACATACCAACAAACATATTATTTGTTTTATTAAGCTTGATCAAAAATATTTAAATAATAGAGTACAGTTGTGTATAACGGGTATTATATCAACTTCAGCATTTTTACTGACATCTTAAAGAAACGGTCTTTTCTCGTGTCTTTCTTCTTGATGAATTTTACAACAACCAATTTGCGGTAATGAACAAGAAACTAAGTTTGACAATAGACTTTAATGAGTCAAAAGAGTCCAGTTTTGCATTCTTGCCCAATGTGTGATGTATATGTGTCTGTGTTTAAACATCATGAGTTCCGTACGTTTTAATTAAGTGGCCACCATGGCATGCCTAGTACATCACATTCTTATTAGAACGAGACAGCAAAAAAAAAAAAAAAAAAAAAAAAAAAAAAAAAAAATTACAGCGAAACGAATTAACAGCTGTGAATACGAATATTAAAAATGCATAACATAATAACATTTTTTTATTTTTAATTAATTGTTTTAAATTTCTAGAATTTAAGGTACTTCGGTATAGACAACGAATTCGTAGATCTAGTTTGACAATCAGTACAGGACGAAAAGTACAATTTTGTGTTATCGAACTCGAGTAGTTTGATTGGGCTGTAGACGGGATGGGTGCATGTCGGTTAAGCAGGGAACGAATAAGCTGACTTTCTTGCGAACAGGGGTGCTAAAAAAATGACCGCTACCTCCCCTGTTAATATGGCGAATGTCTTGTGAGACTAAAGGAAAGTTTTAAACAGGAGAGGGAAAAGGAGTGGACAGAGGGGTCTAAAGCCCGGACCGTCTTTAAGCACATGAAGAGACCCTCTAAGTCTGACCCATGGTGGAATCTGCAAAGATGGCAACAGTCCATTATCACCCAGCTGAGGACGAGACACTGCCCGTCTAAGTCATACCTGTATGGCCTACAGATTACCCGTGATGACCAATGTCGCCACTGTGGTAATGCCGTAGAAACGGTGGAACATGTCATCGTAGAGTGCCCTGCCCTCCCTGCCGGGAGCACATCGACAGGATCTGTGACGTGGACAAGCTCTTGTACAAGAACCTGGGGTTGATGAAGCAATTTCGAACGAGAGTGGTGTCCTCTCGTACTACCGCGCGGCGGACCATGCAGCCTGACTCATAAAACGGCATTAGACGAACCGAGTCCCCACCAGAACCAACTCGCAGCCCCTGCCGACGACCTAGCCTGGTTGCCCGAATGTGCCTATTCGGCGGGGTACGGAAGGGCCTCTATAGCTACGACTTACCCACGGAAGCACGTAAAGAAGTATCCGCGAACGCCCACGTCTACCTTTGGCTAGATGCCCTCGCGTTGCACCCCCCCCCCCTGCGGTGTTCCTGGCTTGCGACTGGGACACCAGGACCCCTTATGAAGGTGTATCGCCCAAGCACTGGAATAGGGGGCCAGACAAGGCACGGCTCCCAGTATGGGTAGTACGATGTACTGGAGCAGGAGATAAGTCCAACCAGCAGGCGAGGGGAAGGCAAGCCTGGTGAGAACAAAGCAAAGCGACCGACACGCAGTGTTCGAACCGATATCTCCGTGAGGCTGCCAACGGCCCACGTAGGGCCAGTTAGTCGGAGTACACTGCGTCGAGGCCGGCCTGGCTAATGGGATCGCAACTCCTTAGCTGCCGCTCCGTGTTGTTCGAGTTCGATTACTGATGTTATTATTCTAGCAGAGCTAGATAAAATACTTAAATACTTTTTCTGCGAAACAGGTGTATAATTTTATTTGAATAAATATTATTTCATATTTAACTTTTGGTTCTTCTTGCCGACCCCTGCCTTAGATAAAACTTTGAATCAACACCACACCTGCCGCAATAATTTTGGTTTTATTATTTTAATGTGTCCCTTTTTTATCATCTTTCACACTGCAACCTTTTGAAAACTCAATGCGACGACTACAACACCCTTTCAACTAGTCAACTTAAGTTGTTTCCCTACATAGAAAATGCTTCACTGTCCCATTGACCCTCTATGAAAAATTTCCTTTCCTCTCCCCACCCAGACTTCTGACACTTTCATTTGACCTTCACCCCTTTTACTGTCATCCTTTGCAATTTTTTTTATAATCAAATACATGACATCATGTAAATATTCATTATGTACATTTGCAAAACCTTTCGTTTTCATTTGGTGTTCAAAATTATGTTAAAAAATTTGATGTTGATGTACTTGTTTTAATTGCAAATAAAAGTATTAAAAAAAAAAATAAATAAAAAAAAAAAAAATAAATAAATTATAAAGCCTTTTTTAGAGGGAGCCAAAAATTCATAACATCAATGTATTGTCCAAATAGAATAATAAAGAATTTATTTTATATAACAAATGATCTTAAAATACAGCTGAAGTTTTTATTTTTCAGACTTTTAAAAATATTCAACGTGTTTATCAAAAAAGCATATAAAAATATTACATTTTTTCAGAATGCATTTTTTATATAAATTTTAATTCAATTATTAGATTTGTTTGGCGAATTGTACTAATTACTTATTTATTTATTTTTAATTATTAATTTTAATAAGTTGTATCCCTTGTTTTGTATACATGACCCTTATAAAGTGTTCGGTTTTCACCACGTGCAAATGAATGATATAGATACTTTATTCGTCTTCCCTTGAGGAGGGGCGGACGCAGAGGCGTAGCGATGGGGGGTACATATGTCCCCGGGCGCCGACCTTAGGAGGCACCAAAATGGGTTGTAAAAACAAATTAAAATGTCATTTTAGCTGCATTTTTGCATTATAAATAGTTTGAGGGGGGAAGGGGGGGGGGGAGGGGGGGGGGCGCAAATCGAAAGTTTGCTCCCGATGTGGGGGGGGGGGGGGGGGGGGGTCGCCAAATTGAAAGTTTGTCCCCGGGCGCCGGGGGGAAGGGTCGCTACGCCTCTGGGCGGATGTTCGAGATATAGTTTAACCCAGTGTCCCCACTCACGGAAATTTAAAGTCACCCCCCCCCCCCCTTACCTGGAAGTTTTAATTGCCACATAGAGAAATATGTCTGAAAGAAGCCTGATTAAAGACTTGTTTCTTTCAATACATAGTGAATGAGACAGTTCTACACCACACAAATATTCGACATATCTGACTTGATAAAGGAACATGATAGAACGACAGCGACACATTAGCTTTAGTAAAATGAGGACAACTTAATGACCCTAGACACTTTAGATCCCAACTAATTCCATACTGTCAGGGGCGTCACTAGGCTCACCCAGGAGCCACCTGTTACACTACCACAGGGGCGTCACTGGACGCACTGTTATTGTATAACATAGTAAATTAGCTGTATTTTTTTTGGGGTGTGGGGCAAAACAGCGGGTGTTCACATAAAGAGCAGTAAACTTAAAGACATTCTCTGGTACATTCAAAATTCGTTTTTTACGGACATGTCTGCTATATGCCGCTGAATTGTAATATTAGACAGAGATATTTGTTGCATCTATACTTCACTAGAATCCCCAAGAATTAATTTCACCATCTTGAACATGCAGAGTCTGATGAGATTTTCTCCTATTGTGTGAGGATTTTTTTTTTTTTGCTTGGCTATTTCTAATGCGACATAATATGATGCTTGCACTAATGTTGTGTGAAAACTTCCTGTTCGATCAAGTCCCTGACGTTTGCAACTAAGTTCATGCCGACGAAAGAACTCCATATATTTTTTGGTGTGTTCCGAATGACTCGTCTCAAAATGCCGTTTTAGCTTTGAAAGCTTCATAGACTCATTACTAAGAACAAGTTTACACATTACTTTTTTTCTTTTCTTTATGTTATCATCTTTATTGAACAAAGAAAGGAACACGATAAAATACAAACATACAAAAAACAATGTTTAGCTCAAGTTCATTAAAACATTGTTTTGTACTTAACAAAAACATAAGACCCTAGTCAATGAAATTTTGATTTACAAAAGATGAGTATAAAAAATAAATAAAAATTCTTTTTTTTTTACCTCGAATAACATGACTGACAATAATGGACAGTAAAGTAGTTATCCTTCAAAAACATCCATGTGGCAGGAATAACGAGCATTACATAAACATTTCAAAGTTTTCAAACATTGTCCTTTCAGCATACTATTATTAAATGGTATTCAGATATATACTAATGATAATACATGGTAAAATTTCCAAATGTAATAATGAATATCCTTAATATTAACATTGAATGTTTAGAAGGAAATTTTTTTTTATATAGAAAACTTCAGCATTCACTGAGCATTTTTATTGTATTTCTCTAATCCCTTTGATCTCGTACGCTGCATTAATATCTACCCTGGCGATCTCTAGATCTGGACCGTCTGCGATCACGCCTATCATTCCGATCACCTCGATCGCCACCCCCTTTACCACCTCTAAAGGATAAAGTAAACTGTTCATTTTACTTTAAAATTGGAGCCTGTCGTCATGGTGACCGATGCTCTCGTTTACATAACAGACCTACCTTCAGTCAGACAATCCTACTTCAAAATCTCTACTTAAATCCACAAAATGCTGCCCTAACTGCTGATGGATCTCATATTATGTTGGATGATGTTCGAGCACAACAAGAGTATGATGAGTTTTTTGAGGAAATTTTTGTTGAATTGGAAGACAAGTATGGAGAGATAGAGGAAATGAATGTCTGTGACAATTTAGGGGATCATCTTGTTGGTAATGTCTATGTTCGTTTCCACAAAGAAGAGGATGCAGAAAAGGCAGTAGGTGAGCTGAACAACCGCTGGTTCAACCAGAGACCAATTCACTGTGAGCTTTCTCCAGCCACAGATTTTAGAGAGGCTTGCTGTAGGCAGTATCTTCTTCTTCTTCTTCGTTCTTAATTATTAGTGTTGAAGGGGACCGAGATTTATCGACCAGTGGTTTTGAACTCGAGACTTTGTTCGAATTTATCAACCATGAGCTTTTTGCCGACTCGACCACGCCTCAAACACAATTAAGCGTTACGTGTCAACTGGTTATGCGCCATTGAGGCCATTGACTCCGATTTCAGCCTGCTTTTCTTTTTGGATTTGCTTCCATAGCCTTTGTCCAACCAAGAACTAACTACAAGGCAGCAGTTGTTTAATTTTGGAGTTGTCTCTCCTAGAAGAGTGGCTGTCCCCAGCTAACGAGCCTCATCTGCCCGAGGGTTTGGCAGTATGAAATGGGTGAATGCACAAGAGGTGGGTTTTATAACTGTATGCATCTGAAGCCCATCTCAAGGGAACTCAGACGAGAGCTGTATGGCCGTAGTGGCCGCAAGAAGGGCAGAAAATCACGATCCAGATACTATATATATATATATATATATATATATATATATATATATATATATATATATATATATATATATATATATATATATATATATATATATATATGGGGGGTATATGTTTATTTATACTTTAGTGGTTTGGTCCTATGTATGTCCTTTTTTTCCTGTCGTGATTTCTATAACTTCATCCGTTAACCTCACGAACTCCTCCATAATCTACCATCACAAACCTGGGCTGCCAATTAATTACAATCGATTACTGCGTTAATCGTCGGATTAGCAGTTTTAATACAAATAATTAACACCTTATAGCGCTGTCTTGAAAATCAGGGATTGTTGGTTGAATTCTCCCTACAAGGGAAAGGGAGGGTGGGGATAATCGTCCTTCACGAGCTACTGATAGTGTTTTAAAGCAAAATATTTTCAGTCGTCGCATTGGTAGTGTCGAATTCACAAATTATGAATTACTGAAAAAGTAGTAAATAAAACAACTGAATAGCGGACACACGGTTAAATTTGAAATTAAACTGGTGATTTTGGTTTTGGTTTTGGTTTGGGGAAAAAGACAAACTATTAAACTAGTACATGTTTTGTTTCTCCATCAATGAACATTTATCTTGTAAGTAATGTTTACACATGTTAATAAAGCAAGTCATCACCCCCCCCCCCCCCCCCACACACACACCCCATTTCGTAAGTTTTTACTTTTAGTTGAATCTATTTTTAACTTCAAGTAAAATGGATGTATGTATGTTTTTTTTTGTATTTTGTTTTGCTTTAGTGCGATCAATCCCACCCCCAACTTCAAACGTGTAACGCTACCATGTATGGTCAAAGTAAATTTGAAAGCCACAATCTTTAAGACAATAAGATATTCGTTTGTGAAATTTATATGGTTTCAAATTTGCAAGAAAAATGTGGGAAACGTAAATTATGCGTTTTTTTTTTTTCTAAAATCGTTTATCTTCAAAAATGTGTGTGTGGGGGGGGGGGGATACTAATTAAAACACTGTATTGACCTCATTTGTGAAGTAGTAATTTAATACAATGTGGGTTTTTTATAATTCATAATTTTAATTTACATAATTTTATATAAATCACAATATCATACTGTAATATCGATTTTTTCAACCTATTTCTTTTATACTGTTTTCACTCAGAATAAACATTTACATTATTGAAAAAAAGTTCTTTAATTAAGAGAAAACGATGCATGACTAAACGACCATTTTTAAAAATATAATTCTGTATCCTTTACAGAAGGGACACAATTTTTAAATGCAAGGGAAATAACTTTACATAGTAACTCAAAAGAAAAACAAATCGAACAACTCTTAACAAAATGCACCATTTCTTTTACTCATTTACTAACACCATGTATGCAATTATTCAATAAGCAAATACTTGTGTAATAGTTAGTGATAAAAAGAAAATACAACTTATATCATACTTTCACTTAGAAATAAGGACACATTGGCTTTATTTTTAGAATTATAATTTAAGAAGTGTTAAAATTTTCTTAACCACATAGATCAATACGTTTATCATTATCTGTTCTTGGATATTTCTGCATCCCCTAAAAAGGGACAAAAGTACTTTTGATAAGTGTATGTTAGGGGTCGGCAGCATGCGGCTCCTTTGATGCCAAGATGCGGCTTTCGAGTTCCCATACGCAAATATTAATAATAATATTATTTTATTTTCTAAACTCATATAAAATATCATTCTGCAACCATATAATAACGAACGATATAATAATAAATATAAACAATACACGCTATTCTTTTAGAACATTTAGTTATTCTTTATTTCAATGTACTTACTATTAAAGTGTCCATCCAAAATTGAAAACATTCAACATCATGGTGGCTATCATTTGCTAGAAAACATCGATTGTTTCGAAAAAAATTTACTTGTTTTTGTTGAAGACAGGGAAAAAATCTGAAAACTAATATCGTGAAGAAACCAAAGCTACTGTGAACATAAAGCACTTCAGCATTAATATCACCAAAAAGAAGGAATTTTTCGCTGAGAGATTTGATAATTTGAATACTGATGGCGTTCATAGTAAATCATCTCAACACAAAAACAAATGAGATAAGCATTGAACCATTTGGAATTGATGTTGGTTCGCTTCAAATGCAATCGCTGGATTTGAAAACCAAATATTTGTGGGATTGTAAATTCACAAAACTCAAGAGCAAGTTGGAAGAGTTAGAGGTTAAGAAAAGGATGCAAGTTACACTTCACAAGTGCACAGTTCTAAAAGAAATGTCGCGAGTTGAGGCACTTATATTTGACGCATGTGACGCACCCATCCCGCCTACAGACCAATCAAACAACTCGAGTTTGATAACGCAAAATTGTGATTTTCTTCCATTACTGATTGTCCAACTACATATTCGTTGTATATACCAAAGTACCTTAAATGATATCAATGTAAAACAAATAAATACAAAAGTAAAATTTATAATATGTTGTTGCATCTGTAAGCTTTGTATTTTCGGCTTCTAATTAGTTTCGCTGTATTTTTTATTGATGTATCGTTCTAATGAAAATGTGATCTACTAGACATGTCCATGTGTCCACTTAAGTAAAAAGTCATCATGTTTAAAAACACATACATACAGAAATACACACATAAGGGGTAAGAATGCAAAACTGGGCCGTTTTGATTCATTACATTCCATCGTCAAACTTAGTTTCTTTTTCATTGGCTATAATCGTAAAATTGATAAAGACGAAAGACACGAGTAAATATCCTTTCTTTAAGATAATGACAGAAAAATGCTGAAATCGACATTGATACCCAACATACACAAGTGTACTCTATGAACCCAATGTTTGTTATCTAAAACCGTACTACCTACCATACCATACATAGACACATTATTTGTACATTTAAACAATATTTTTAATCAAGCTTAATTAAACATATAATATAGGTGGCAGCTCTTGCCTAATGACATTCATGTTTTTCTACATAAATTGACTTAGTACAGACTTGAGAATAAAATGGCTTCATAAAAATAAAATTATTACACGTCGCCTCACAACAAACCCAACGATACCGATTTATTAGTTTAATTTGTCCCTTTTTAAAGGGAGCCAAAATGTGTCTCTGTTCGTATTATGTCTGTATTCGTTCTAATAAAGAATTACCCTAAAAATAAATTTAGTCTTAAAATAAAGCTAAAGTTGTTACTATTTAAAGTTGTATAAAATATTCAATCTGTTTACAAAAACATATTTAAAATTGCATTATTCCAGTTTTCTATAAATGTGTTCATAAATAATTATTTAATTAATATATATGTCAGGCAAATTTTACTAGTTATTTATTCATTTATTTTTAATTATCAATTTTTATAAGTTGTATCCCTTATCTGGTTTTTCCCAAATACAAAGGGGAAGTAATACATTTTGTCCAGGCTAAGCCTAAGGGAAAATTTAACTTTTTGTGTTAGCTGTTGCAGCTTTCCCAAATCGGGTCTTGATGAAAAAAAAATCATAAAAAAACGTTTTAATTACAAGCTTTTATGTAATAATGCACTCAAAAGTAGAAAATAAATTATGCACTATTATTTAAATAACTATAAAGAAAAGCGTGGGTCTCTCCCTAAATATTAGACACTACTATTTAAATTACTATAAAGAAAAGCGTGGGTGTCTTCCTTAACATAAGTAAAGGTATCCAATAGATACTAAAGTGACCCACGCATTTCTTTATATATGTATAATTAAATATATAATTAAAACTCACGGAATTCATCATGTTTAAACACACACACACATACACACGCACACACAGATACATACACATTGGGCAAGAATGCAAAAATTGACTCTTTTGACTTTAAACTTAGTTTCTTGTTCATTACCGCAAATAGGTTGTTGTAAAATTCATAAAGAATAAAGACAAGAGCAAATACCGTTTCTAAAAGATACTGTCAGAAAATGCTGAAGTCACTAAATACCCAAAATACACAAGTGTACTCTATTGTTTTAATATTTTTGATCAAGCTTAATAAAACAAATAAAATGTTTAGTGGTATGTTTTCCACACAAACCTAGCGATGCCGGTTATTTTATTTTAATGTGTCCCTTACGTAAGGGATCCAGAAATAAACAAAATAGAAATAACTAACTTGTGATAAATCAAATTTTAACACTACTTTAATAATTATTCTTAAAATAAAGCTAATGTTTATTAATTATAAGTGAAAATATGGTACAAGTTGTATTTTATTTTATCCATAACTAGTACACAATTTTTTGCTTACAAAATAATTGCATACATTTTATAAGTAAAACAGTTATCAACAATTGTGCATTTTGTTATGAGTTGTTCAATTCGTATTTGTTTGAGCTATTGTGTTATTTCCCTTGTATTTAAAAATTGTGTCCATTCTGTAAGGGGTACATAATCTATCTATCTATATACTACTAAAAGTCAAATTTGTTTACATGTTTGAATATTTATTTTTTTGTTTTTTTTGTTTGTCCGATCGAGTGATGTGATATGTTATACTCTATCTGGAGAGCTGTAAAATAGTATGTAGGTAGAGAATAATTTTTTAATGCAGACAGATTGTTAATCACACATTTATTTAAAGACGTTAATTAATTTATTGATTTATTCATACGTATATTAACCACAATTTTTTAAAAGGATTTGAAAAGCCACTAGACTCGACGGAAACAGTGACGTCACATGATGTGTTTATTTTTTTACATCGATAATAGCAGCCTATCGAAGAAGATTGTGTTCCCATTCCAATGTTTAACGCGTTCTAAAGCTAATTTTCGGCTTTAACTTTAACAATGCGTCCGTTTGCTGTATTTATTACGTTCCAACACTTATATCAATTTTAAACTGTCTTTTTACATTTAGTTTTACAATAAATTTCTCTAGATCTAAAGATCAGCTGTCGAAGGAAAGTTATGAATCTAGCCTAGATCTAGGTCACTAGACTCAATGTAAATTCTAGATCTAGACTTAATGTAAATTCTAC